GATATATCTTTTAAATCCTGCATTTCCTTAACTATATCTGATAGACTTTCAGCCAATGTATCATAACTTTCTGTTGTTCTAAGTACTGCCAATATGTAGTTGCCCCTTTTGCTCATTGCTAATGTTTTCTCATTTAGGATGGTGAAAGTTATGTTAACAACACTTATTCGGTTCCCAATGTTAGTGCCATCCCCACTCAATTTTATTTTAATCCTCTCTCCATCCTGAATGACACCACTGACCTTTAGTCTCCTGATATGTTCCACAATAGTTTCCCGGAAACTAACCTGTACTCCTTCTGCCTTTCCTGGGGTGGATCTTAAATTCCACTTTTGGTTTAACTTTTTCATGTGCTTTGTGATTTTGTTCAAACATGGTGGATCATCTGATGCCATGGAAATTTCACGCCATGCCTCATTCGATATGTTGAACTTATCTTTCAGATATAGCCACATATTCATTTTATCCATGTCCGCTTCACTGATTTCCTTGCTAGTCTCATGGTTTGGTTGAAATTCATCATCCTCGATAAAATTGAAACTTTCGACCATTCCAGTGTTGTGGTTGTACAACTCAATTCGTGATGGTACATAATCATACTGGCCGAGAAATGACAATGTTGTTTGACACTGCTCTTTCAACTGTTTTCGAATCCTTGCCTGGTGCTGTTTGGAGTATTCACTAAACTTTTTCTTTTTGTCTGGGCCTCTTGATTTTGTATTCCTGCTCAGCTTGGCCACCTTATTTACTAATTGTTTAAACCTTTTCTTGTATGCTTTCTTATTTTCCTTGACTGTGTTTGTTACATTATTGAGGTTTTCCTCTACACGCATCCTTTTGTTGGTCTCTTCCTCCAAGGATTGTTCGAGAACCCTTTTCTCCCTTTTTAACTGCTAGTTTTCATGCTGTAGTCTTACAACTTCAAATTCACTGTAATGTATGGGAAAACTATATTTTGGACTCAGTTCCCACTTATTCATGAGCCTTCTAACTGATTTCCCTCCTGCACATTTTGCACGTTTAAAGGCTGAATATAGATGTTCTATCTTGCTTCGAAACGCTTTTAATATTCGGCTGCCAATGATAACACCACGTATTCCAGACTCAATCAAAATATGGTCAACAACTGCACCTAGCCATGACGTATAGGTCTCGCCATCGTCTTGTGTTCTCTCTTTAGTCAGCGTATAAATTAACAAACTGTAAAGTAATAAAATACCAAAATAATATGTACCGCAATTCCCAAGCCGTGTACATATTTCAACATTTGTGAAAATTTAAAATTTGGCGGAATAAGCGCAACTATAAAGTATTACAATTAGTACAAATATAAACGTTTCCTTACTTGCTTATCTCGTACGTTTTCGTCGGACCGAATTCTGCATTTATATCATCATTACCAACAGCGGAAACTGTATGAATTAATGTTGTAAACAATATGCAAATGGTCAGCAAAATCCCCAAATGCTTATAGTACAAGGCCATTAGTCCAAGAGTAATTCGCGGCGAATATGTATGAAGTTAGTATCAAAATACGCGCCAAAACACGTAGATTCCAAATCCGTTTCTGAAAATGAAGTTATGTACAACAGTGGAAGCACTAGAGCCGGTTTTCTCGCCACTTCCGCTCTACACGGCAATTGTTTATATATATTCTTAGTATAGCGCGCGACTTCAACCCCCCGAGTCCGACTCCAGATTGCAACGAATCTTTGTCAAAATCGTTGTAGAAGGCGTAGAATGCGTCCAAATTTTATATTCCGTTTCAGAAAATGTACTTTTTTTTACTTACAAAGCACATGAGCGAAAAAACTGCATATTTTGCATGAAATTATATAGCGCGCCGTTGGGGGTATACTTGTCTGTAACACGATAAGACTTTTTGTACACGGAGAGTTTGATATGATAATTTGATATAAGCTGTATATGTCATTCTCCTGACAGATTTTAATCTTAGAATATTATGATAAAATGATGGACGTTATAAATACTGTATGTAACTGTAACTGGTGTATATAGGATATAATTATGAAATTTGCTCACAAAAGTGGGATAGTTTGGAAAATATATTTAATTAAATTATATATTTGTAGTGCTAATTGTCCCAATACTATATACCCTGAGGATTACCATTGATAAGTGTATGGATATATTTGACAAAGATGTGCATTTATATAATAACACAGGGAAAATATTCATCAATACTACTGTGCAGCCTTTCTACATAATTGACAACATCTTAAAAGAATACTATATTAATATTAGTTGAAAGGCAGGCAAAAGGGGACAGATAGAAGACATGATTCAATTATGTCATGGTATATTGTTTATCATAATGATTGTACAGTTTGGTAGGTTCATTTGACAAACAATTTCCAACTAAGATAGTTCATTAAATCAATTTACACACAGTCTCTATTGATTTAAAATTTGTGGTTGTGTGTACCTAGTTATACTAATAGAATTTTTAACCCAGTGCTTGCTGTGTGTTAGTTTACTGGTTTCCTGGTCACAGGGCAATATTCTCAGTATTCAGAGTGTGGGCTATTCACCAGCATGTTCATGTCAAAGGCAGCTAGGGGTGAATGAATTTAATGAAATTGACCAACTGATGTCAACCACACTGTCCATACAGAGTAGGATTAGCAGCATAAGACAGAGTTGTATATAAATAAGTTTACCCACTAGAGCACAAAATACCTTTATGCACCATTCTAATGCTAGAAGATTTTACTCATGGAACATTGGAAATTAGTGGAAACTAATAAGGGAAGGTGGTTAAAAAACAACACAATAATACTGCCTTCTGAGTCCAGCAATGCAACTAGTGGATCACACTGTATACACCTTTATTACACGCATCATGTGTGTATTTGCGTTGCTCGTGATTTTTTGCCGAAATATTTTTCAATAGAAAAGTTAAGGCTACAAGAAGCACAGTACTGACTATTTTTGAATAGAGACTTATGTACCACTGCTGCTATTACACTTGTACAAGCAAATATTGTTTTCTTATATAGAGAAATTATGTTGTTTTTACGATATACGTTCAAGTTTTTTACATGCTTTCCAAAAATGCAGCAAATAATTTTGTGACTCTGATGTATGAATTGGAACAAAAGAGTTCACTCAGAACGCAGGAAATCGCATTTCCGAGGTACTAGATTTCAAAATTTCCCAGGGGAGGATACCCCTGGACCACCCTACAAATGTGAGGTCTTAGGCATCACTCAGCTCAGGAACTGGATCCGCCCCTGCTGGAAGCTACAATCCCAGTGCTACCAGAAGCTGAACAGAATTGTTTATCTGCAAAACAGCGACATCTCTCAAGACCAAATAACACCGAGGAACGTCTTAAATGCTGCACACGTAATAAAAAGTTGTGAGAAAAACACCACAAAGAGTCTGGAAATGCCAAACAAAGGTGTCTCACGAATAAAATAAAGAGTCAGATTGATAACGAGATAAGGCACAACTTCTCAGCTACGATCGAGGACAGTGTATTATTTTATTGGAAAAAGTGGAAAGACGAAAGATCCTTTCACACAACAATCGACTAGCTGTGTGTAAGTACATATAGAAATTGTATATACCTTATTATAGGAAATTAACAATCCATTTTTTTAACGTGACATAAATTAAGGCGACATCAAATTAACACGGATTGCTTCTAGGTCTTTTAAAACATGATTATATTAACGTGAATGTGACCTCCACAGTTGACAAATTAATTAAATTAATAACGCAAATCGGATAGTGAACTGAGTTGAGAGGAGCACTGATGTTTTTAGTTTACGTTAATATACTGTATTTTGATATTAGAAGAATTAGTGTAATATAAAACAAACCAAGGTCTTTATAACTAACGATAAATAAAAATTACATCCTTAAAATTAACAATGACATAAATTAATATTAATTAAATTAACGCAAATTTTTAAAATCCGTGTTAATAAAGTGCATTGTTAATTTCCTATAATAAGGTAGTTCCTTTACAAAAGAAACAAGTTGTCTGTCTGAAGCTGGATGACATTAATTTATACTGTTGTTTATAATATAAATAGCCAGAGAATGATATACTCAGCTTTTGTTTTACTATTGAATGTATTAGCCTATACTGTAACCGTAGCTTAACCCTTGTCCATATCATGCTATATATAATTACCACACTTTGTCTTTGGCGATTAACTTGTATATCAACAGAATCAACTGTTAAAGCGTAATTAATTAAAGCGAATTTCCGCTGTAACAAGTAAACTTCTTGTGTTATCTCACAATGTCTATAAGTCCCTAAATTCGGGTGTGAAGATGCTAACAAACGTTGCTTTAATCCTATTAAAATATCCACAATAGGTGTAAGGTTTTGTCTTCACTTAAGATAAAACTAAAGGTGATTTAAAACTGAAGGTGATTAAATTTCTGCCTTTAATCAACATTAAACTGTATGTTAAAGATCATTAAAGTATGGCATGCTTTAATGTTGGTTTTAACCCACTTTAATATCCTCACTAAATGCAATTAAGTGTATCGGTTTCCAAAAGAGGTGTTTTATTCAGCCTAAGTGCAATTAAATCTAACTTTTTATTTGAACACCTTTAGTCCGCTTATTAAAGGTGTAACCAGACATTTAATATCTTTAATATTTTTGCTAAAGCTGATTAATTACACACTTTTCGTCCTGTGCTTGTGTGCCTTGTAATTGTAGATTCAAGTTTGGGGAGCTCGCTGTGAATCATTTGAACAGATTTTAATGACAGATTGGACACTGTGCCTTCGGGACCATTGGTGATTGAGCAACAGTCTGGTTCTTCAAATGAACAGGAAACACATCGTGCCAGCAATTGTAGTGATTAACTTCATGCACTCTGTTTGAAAATCGGTGATAAAAATATTCTTGTCGTTTTCAATGCGGACTCCCATTACCTGACCAAATAATTCATTCTCAACTCCTCCCCGCTCAACTCCCTCTTGACCATTTCCAGCAATTAGATTAGATTATCAAAATTCCTGAATGGTAATTTTACAAATTAAAATTGAAAAACTCAAGATACAACAATTCCAGGCTTTCTGGCAGGCATATGTAAAAAAGTAGGATAAAAGTAGGACTGTAATTTTACAAAAAGTAGGAATAAAGTAGCAAAACATACAAAAAAGTAGGACAAAAATAGGAATAGTTGGTCATTGATATGCCTAATATATAATATTGAAAAATACCACAGAAGTCCAATTTCATAATTTATCTCTCTTTTTATTAATAAAGTATACATACAAGTGGCCTCCTCCTCCCCACCAGCCAACCTTACTCCGCTTTTAATGAATAAAACAATATAAAGTTTTTAGAAGTATTTTAAGTGTTTTCTTTACTTAGTGTTTATTTACAAGTTTTGCAAGGGTAGACAAATATTTCTCAACTACTTCTTTCTCTTACTACCAATCGTAATCTGGTCCTTTCAACAGTTCTCCAATTTTCGTCTGGCTGATTCCATCTTTTTACTAGCGACATCCATGAGGCCTTGAACTACCAACATTTCATTCATGTCTCTTTCTTTGATGGCATTTTGTAGCCTGGTGCTTGCTTCAGAGCAGAGGGATTCTGCATTCTGTAGCTCTTCTTCTTCCTGCAATTGCTCCTGCACAATACTGCTGTCTTTCTCTTCAAGGGTCTTCTTTTTTGCCTCTTTTTTGTCAACTTTTTTTCTTCTGCTAGACGTGTAGTGTAAATGCTACTAGCATTTCGGCGTGCCTGCATCAGGGGTGATGGGCATCATGTGGGCTTGGCCTGACACTGTCACTCTGACATCTTTTGTAATTCGTAGTGCTTTGACGGAGGCTACGCTCATTAGTTACCACCTTCTTGTTCTCAGATAGGCTCATCTCAACCTCCGCGCTACCATGGGAAAGGTAACGACCTGCCTTCACTAGCTTTGCAAGAATTTTGTAGCGCGGTGATCCTGTAATGTTCTTTTGGTGAAGAAATTTCTGCCAATAGTGGTCTACTCTCATACTCTGTTCCATCCTCTTTGCATCCTAATATATACCAGTTTTCAGGTATATCCTGTGCCTGGTACACTCTCCATTCGTCAGTGGGCAAAGGCAACTCCTCTGTGATGATTTGAGGAAGTTTTCTTGTGGTTTGTTGCACTGCCTGCATTCCTTGGGGCTCTTTTTGCAGAAGTGGATTCAAACAAGAGGGATCTTTTACAATTCCTCTACCAATAGGAAGACGATCAATTAATCAACTCCACTGCCACAAGCTTTTCCCCTGTATTCTCTCCAACAACATCAGGCTTAAGGAAATGAAACATGATGGTGCACAAAAGCTCCAACAGCTTGTGGTACAGGATGTGGATAAGTGGTTGCTCCTTCTGGAAAAGGGTAAGGAAAGGATGGAATACTTATTCTAAATTTTGAAGAAAGTGCAACTGTACAAATATCTCTGGATTTTTAATCTTGACACATTCTCTTGTACCGTTCGTTATTTTTCAGTGATGCTTCTTTCTTCTCTTTTGACATAATTCTTGGCTGTTTAATTAGAAAATATTTCTCGACAGCATCCCAGCAGATCAGTGTTTTAACTGCGGGAATAAGCATAAGCCAACGCCTCTGGGCATGTTTGATAAACAATCTACTATCTAAACCAAGGCCAAGCTGTGTTTAAACAAAAATTTCTTTCCGACATGGTGATGCCTTCAAGAAAAAGAAAAGATCTAGAACAAGCTGTTCCACTTGTTCTTTGAATATATTCAGACGCAAACTCAGATTTACACAGAATAAAAGGGAGAATGCTGCAAGCCATTGGTCTTTGTGTGTTCATTACTCAAACTCCAAATTGTTTTATTAACATAATCAGCTGTCTAATGGCAACTGATAGCCTTCCTCCTGCAATGTCTCCAATATAGCCATGGAAACATCTCATGGAAACAAGAATGTTCGGCTACATCACCAGGGAAAATTCTCTTGAAAAGAGCGGGTGTTGCATCACATGATGAATAGCTATAGTTACTCTGAGCAACTTTTAGGGCCCACAGAATTTCTGCAGTGGCAATTTTCTCCTGAAGACTAGGACTTTGTATCACATATGATGTACTTGATGTAGATGCTGGTGTACTTGATGTAGATGCTTCATTGTGTACAGGTGGACTACTACTCGATGGTCTGGCAGATGTTACTTTTTCCAGGTGTCTTTACAAATCCTGCAACTGCTAAATCAGAATGCCTTTTTCGTTCAGCATGATGAAGGAGTTGTCTAAATCCTGAATTACTGCACTGTATTGACTTGCAGCACAACATGCAAAAGGCTTTATGAGGTGAAGTGTTGTCTGCATGGCACCATTGCTTCACTTGGTTCCCAGCACTATCAGTTTGATTTAACCAGGATTCTTGAAATTTGTTAGATTTGGCATTATTCACTAATATTAGATAAGAATTTTAACTTTCTTTTAGCAGACAAAGCTGTTCACTAGAAAAAAAGAGGAAAAATTGTAGCACCAATTCTGAGTATCTACATATAGGCAGTCACACAAAAGATATGGATTGAAATCTTAAATGCAATGTGTACATTAATAATAATAATTCATTCATGATGGTTTATTTTCACAAAAAAATAAATAAGTTACATGGATAAATTACACATAATTAAGTGTTTAAGAGGCTGTCTCTGTAAAAACCGCCCGCTCGAATTTCATTTCAAACATGATCTTCGCTAAAACTCTGGCAACTGGAAAGCTTTACCAAACATAAAATAAAAACAGTCTAGGTTTGGTTGAAAACGATTTTCCCAGTCGCGCTGCAAATAACGAAATATTTTGCCCCTTCAAGGCATTGATCCGTAAAATACTATATTCGCGTCAACTAGCAATGAATTTTATATCATTTCACTCATGAAACTTTCTAGTTTTCTTGAAGATGAGGAATTTTTACCTAATATTAGTTGTAAAGGAAAAATTAAGCACAATGTAAACCCTACTTATCACTATAAATCAAAGAGTGGAAATGGCCTTGATTTAGATTCTATTTTTCAAACTTTGGGACCTTGTCAATCGCTCGGGCCTATTTTTCAAGGAAGTATAGTCCTTTGTTGGCAAATATATGCAAAAAACCCTGTACGATTTCAGTATTTCAAAAGTTATGGCCGTTTGTATCAACACACATGCGTGTATTTGCGATGAGTCGTCATATTGTAAAATCACTCTATCTCGTGCAGATTCTAACTTAAATGCAACAATATACAGCTTACCTCATTGCTAACTCAAGTTTATTTCCTTTTTAAGTCAATTTCCAATTCCTCACATAGCTGATCCCATCATTAAACACAATAGTACATGTCCTTCCCTTCCTCTTGATCTGTCCGACCTTGGTTGTTTCAGAAATTTGGTTCGAAACGTTATGTTGCTCACACTTCGCATATGTAAATATCCTTTCGAAACAGAATTTGTTCGAAAATGTTATGGAGCGATGAGTTGTCATATATATTGTAAAATCACTCAATATCGAGACATAAATACAACAATGTACAGCAGCTTCCCAGCTTTTAATAGTCAAGATTAATAACTTGTGTCGCGTGACCGAAATGTACAAGCTTTGCACCGCTAATTATAGAACTACTTTGTTTACGACCTTTTCGGTAAGGAGGATAAACATAGGTGTACAGGAGGAAAAAAATAGTGGGACGGACTATTGTTTGACCGATATTGAAGGAAATTTTCCTGGAAATTTGTCCGAGGGGGAGACAAAATTTTCAAGACTTAATATGAAGACTTAGAATAACGAAATATAAAAAAGGCTTTACACAGCTTTTAAATACAGTCTGGCGGTAATGAGAATCAAAAAAATTATTTTATGTGGCCTACTGTAAGCTTTCCTTTCATCATTTGCCCGATTTTTAAGCCGAACTGCCAGGATTTTAAATAGAATCTGCCCGACAAAAAATATTTGGGGGGGGGCGGCAACTCCCAGTGGTACGCCTCTGAGAATAAATTAACAGGCCGTAGTCAGCAATTTACACGAATTACACCTATTCTGCATTGTATACTTGGTCTGCTGGCATTTTCTGCAATCTGCGATCTGCAAATATACTGATATTCTTAGCCTTTGGTAGAATATGCGAACGGTTAGCAGTTATCAAAGATAAATAAAAATAAATACAAATATAATATTAATACCAAACCCTTGTTAAATTTAATCATGAATATAACATGCATTCTGGCACTTACTTGACTTCGCCCACTTCAACTTTCCTTAGCAGTATAGACTTCATCTAACCCTCATTTTACTGTATATCAGAATAATCCCGACCCCCATAAACTATATAATAAACCTCTAACCCGGGTATTGAGGAAAGAAAGCCATAGATCGTAGCAACTGCCAGCAGACCAAGTATAAAATGCAGAATAGGTGTAATTCGTGTAAATTGCTGACTACGGCCTGTTAATTTATTCTCATAGTGTACCACTGGGGGTTGCCCCCCCCCCAATATTTTTTTTGTCGGGCAGATCAGTCTCTTTAAAATCCTGGCAGTTCGGCTTAAAAATCGGGCAAATGATGAAAGGAAAGCTTACAGTAGGCCACATAAAATAATTTTTTTGATTCTCATTACCGCCAGACTGTATTTTAAAAGCCGTGTGAAGCCTGTTTTATATTTCGTTATTCTAAGTCTTCATATTAAATCTTGAAAATTTTGTCTCCCCCCATCCCTCGGACAAATTTCCTGGAAAATTTCCTTCAATATCGGTCAAACTATTGTCCGTCCCACTATTTTTTTCCCCCCATACACCTATGTTTATCCTGCTTACCGAAAAGGTCGTAAACAAAGTAGTTCTATAATTAGCGGTGCAAAGCTTGTACATTTCGGTCACGCGACACAAGTTATTAATCTTGACTATTAAAAGCTGGGAAGCTGCTGTACATTGTTGTATTTATGTCTCGATATTGAGTGATTTTACAATATGACGACTCATCGCTCCATAACATTTTCGAACAAATTCTGTTTCGAAAGGATATTTACATATGCGAAGTGTGAGCAATGTAACGTTTCGAAACAACCTGAAACAACCGAGGTCGGACAGATCAAGAGGAAGAGAAGGACATGTACTATTGTGTTTAATGATGGGATCGGCTATGTGAGGAATTGGAAATTGACTTAAAAAGGAAATAAACTTGAGTTAGTAACAAGGTAAGCTGTATATTGTTGCATTTAAGTTAGAATCTGCAGGAGATAGAATGATTTTACAATATGACGACTCATCGCAAATACACGGATGTGTGTTGATACAAACGGCCATAACTTTTGAAATACTGAAATCGTACAGGGTTTTTTGCATATATTTGTCAACAAAGGACTATACTTCCTTGAAAAATAGGCCCGAGCGATTGACAAGGTCCCAAAGTTTGAAAAATAGAATCTAAATCAAGGCCATTTCCACTCTTTCATTTATAGTCATAAGTAGGGTTTACACTATGCTTAATTTTTCCTTTACAACTAATATTAGGTAAAAATTCCTCTTCTTCAAGAAAACTAGAAAGTTTCATGAGTGAAATGATATAAAATTCATTGCTAGTTGACGCGAATATAATATTTTACGGATCAATGAAAAATGCGTAATTTTCAATTTTCGAGACGTCCCAACAGGCCTTGAAGGGGGGAAATATTTCGTTATTTGCAGCGCGACTGGAAAATCGTTTTCAACCAAACCGAGACTGTTTTTATTTTATGTTTGATAAAGCCTTCCAGTTGCCAGAGTTTTAGCGAAGATCATGTTTGAAATGAAATTCGAGCGGGCGGTTTTTACAGAGACAGCCTCTTAAGTTGCTTTACAGTTTTGCAAATATACTAACCCACCAGACTAGCTAATAGTACATCTATTTTTAAACTATACACTTTAGACTAATCTAACCCAATTATGAGCTTCAAGATCAATAAATATTCAAATTTTGTGGTAGACAAAATTAATGAACTCCCAGAAAGCAGGATGAAAATACTACATGGTATATGAAAGTACATCCCAACTGTTCGTCACTCACACACTTTGAATATTAATGTGTCCTCTGGCTGGAATTGAGCCTGCGGCTCTGCAATTCTGGTGCAGCATTCCAACCAACTGAGCTACAGAGTCCAGTTGTCAAGCAGGAGTTCATGTAGGTATACCTGGATACTGTCATGCTGAGGTATCGATAAATACCAAGATTGAGACCTATAGTTAAAACCTAGTTGAAACCTTGCTCAAAAATTTTTTTGATATTTAATAACTTAACATGGCAGTACCCTAGTATATATGCATGGACTTGTGGTTACAGCTCGACATCTGTACTCTGTACTGTAGCTCAGTTGTTTAGGGCACTATATATTAATGTAAGAGATTTTGTTGGCATATCACTCATTGAATAATAGTCAAAGGATCTTGTAGATGGAAATTATTGAGTGGAGATTTATATATATTTTAACCCAACTGGGAACAGTGGCAAAAAAGCAACACTATAGGTCCCTGGCAGGAATAGGACCTGTGATTTCAGAGCAGCATCTGACCAACAGAGGCCAGTTGTCGGGCTCTCTTATGTGTTAGGGTCATGGCAGTACCTATATACGTTCCATGAAC